CTTTCTTTCTTTCTTTCTTTCTTTCTTTCTTTCTTTCTTTCTTTCTTCTTATTTTTATTTTTAAATATACACCAACATCAATACATGAACAGTGTGGCCCCTGGGTATCATTCATTTTGATACAAATAGCAATAATAATGTTAATGGTATTTGTTACATTAGTCAAACATGTAATCCTAGTATTAATACACGCTTGTTTTAAAGTAGTTATTCAATATGTCAGTTCTTTCTTTTTTTTAATAAAGTTTTATTTGGGTTTTTACACACACAAAATACAAGTAAAACATCTTTTTTGAAAATAGCATGGTCCTGGGTTGAACTTCTTTATACAGACACAAAACTCAATTTCATGCTCCTTTTTGTATTCTCTTCCATATCTTATACTATTTTACATTTTCTATATAGTTTTTCCCCTCTTTTAATTTTCTCAATTTTATTTTGATTATCGCATCTCAATTCAAATCATATTTATACTTTAATCTGTTCTGTTTCAATTTCATATTATCTTTTCTCATTAAAAAAATTTACTCCTGTAGTTACTAATTGGAGTATGACACCTTTATATCTTTTAATTACATCCATTCAACTCTTATTTAAACTTCAATATATACCTTAAGTTTATGACCTTCAATATAATACATAATACATAACTTCCAATCGAATTCTGCTTGGTTCATTCTTATAATACACACTATATTCTTTTTTAAAAAAAGAAAGATTGTAAATATATGTAATTATAAACCCTCATTCCATTCCAGTTCAGTTCTATCATTAATAATCATTAAAATCTTAACATCTTTAACACTTCTTTTCAATTAAATATCATACTTCCTTAAAAACACATATAATCTCTATAATTAATTTTTCCCTTATTTCTCTTCACATATGTTTTATAAATAATTAAATATACCTTTCGTTACATTTATTTATTGACAAGCATTCAACTGAATTACGATAGCTATTTTATCAAACATTTTAATCATACATTGTTTCATATTTTCTAAAATTATTTCTGCTTCTAAAATAACCATACTAACTTATGTACCTTTGCAGAATCCATTTTTCAATTAAGTTTTCACCCATTATCTCTAAATAGGCCCTGTATCTCTATATTTTGCTTCTGTCCTTTATAACTTTTTCTCCTTTCTTTCTTCCCTCTCATCTTCTCCCTCCCCTTTTTACCCCCTTGTCTCTCTAGTTCTAATTCTCTCTTCTGCATTTCCCTCTTCTGTTGCTTTCTGATTTTATACTTATTTTTCACTCTATTTTTTTTTCAAGTTGTTTTTCCCAGTCTTAAACTTTCCGTTCTCTTTCCCCCCTTTCCTTTTTTCCCCCATCTAAGATTACTTGTTCATTAAAGATGGCTTCTTCTTTGTTGCAATCTTCTTTTTCTGCAGGCATTTCTTGTTGTTTCTCATAATTCCAAATCTCCATTTCTAAAAACTGAAATACGAAGACAAAAGAACCTCTCCCTTCTTGTGCATCTTCTTTGTACTTTTTAAGTTCCATTTTCAGTTCTTCTAAAAGTGGTGCCATTTTAAACAGTTTTAAACAACCACCCGATTGATTTTAGTCATTCAAAACAATAACCAAGAATCCAGAAATCATCAAGTAATCCAGATAGTCCCGAGTTATATCTTCTTATTTCTTTTTCAACTTTCTCTTCCTGGGGTTTTTGTTGCGATATTTCAGTTAGAATTTATCTTTTGGAAGTCTTGTTGAGATTTTGCTTTAAGTTCTTTTTTAATTCCAGGCAGTCTCCTCCCTTCCAGATCCTGCCCTTTTATTCTTCCTCTCTCCTTTCCTGTTTTCAAAAGCTTTTAATTATCCAGAAATCTTTATTATCTCTTTTTATTTTCATCATTAAATGCCTATTGATGTCAAAATGGATTTTTTTCCAATTTCTTGCATAAGTCTCTTAGCTGTCAGTATAGGAAAAGGAGAAAACCAAATCTTTTCCCTTTTCTCTCTCCTTCGCAGCTTAAAAATCTTCTTAGGGAACAATGTTATTGTTTTTTAACAGTTTCAATTCCAGGGTACCTTATTTGTTGCTTTTGCTGTTTGACCCAGTCAACCAAAACTTTCTCTTCTTATCTTCCTCCTGCACATTCTTTTCCGGTTGAGTTCTTCTTTGTGGTGGCCATTTCTGACCACCACTGCAACCACCTTTGGGAAAGGGAGTAATGGCCAGCTGGGGGGGAGAGATGCGGCTCTTCTCGACCCTGCTGGTGGTCTCCCCCCTCTTCACCACCTCTACGGGGTGGCTTAGCCCCGAAACCAGCCGGCTCGGGGCGTTCCAGTGGCGAGCATGGATCAAAGCCTCGCAGAGATGAGGTTTCAGTCTGTCGCTGAAAAGCTCAAACCAGAAGTCCATTTCAGTTCTTTCTTAATGTAATATTTAAAACATGTGAGTGTGGATTGCTCGAGTAATAATTCTTCATGATTTATTTTGTCATTTTGACTAGACTGGTCTTCTGCACCCTGGTGTCTTCCACTTGTGTTGGGATGCACCCTCTGAAGAGGATTTTTACCCAAATATTTTGAGTGGGGGAAAATAGATCTTGTGCATGTGGTGGGAAGGCTGGTGGTCCTTTCATTACTATGTACAAATGTGTATGTACTTTGTCTTTAGAACAAAGCAAATTCCAGGAGATCTTGAAGGCTGCTGCAGACAGTGGGAAGTTGTCCAACTTAGTACCGGTGAATCCAGTGGGGCAGCCCAAGTAAGTTTATGAATCTGTGGTTTTCAAGTTTCCCAATCAGAGGGCAGCATCAGTTAATTTAAGTGGGCTGGAGAGCAGAGTTTGTGTAAATGCAGATTGATTTTGTACCAGAGGGAGTTGCATAAACACTTAGCTCCATTTCTCGGTTGAAATATTTGGTCCCCAACAGCAAAATTTCTGAAACTGACTCTTAAGGTTAAAAACCAAACCAAGAACAGGTAGAATAGAATAGAATAGAATTCTTTATTGGCCAAGTGTGATGGACACACAAGGAATTTGTCTTTGGTGCATATGCTCTCAGTGTACATAAAAGAAAAAATAAAATATATTCAATCAAGAACGGGTAGCCAATAAGATTTCAAAGAATTAGCTCATGAGAATTAAAGCCATGTAATGGGATGATACCATAATCTCAGAGGCTTTCAAAAGATTGTTGGAAAGGAGGAAGACAAAGACGGTGGGATCCCTTCGAAGGGATCCCTTCGATCCCTTTACAGCCTGCTCAGGATGGCTGAGCAGGCTGTAAATCACAAGCAGACCATCCTCTCCAGGTATTGAGAAAGGAGAAGCTGTGGAGTGCGCTGTGCACACAATGTTTTTGTGTGCTTCCCAAGAGCATCCAGTTAGTCACTGTGAAGAACAGGATGTGGGATTAATATCAACCTTGACATGCGTCCAAATTCTAATGACTGCTCAAGTTATTTTGATAATCCACTTAATTCTTTCCTTGTATTTTGCTTTTCTTATCCCAGGAGCTAAAGGAAACATTGACAAAGACAACTAAGAATTCAAAACAGCTCCTAAGGATAAGACTGAAGTGTTGAGTTGGGACAGGAAAACATTTACCTCTGTGGAAAAGACTTCAAGCAGTAATTGAAGAGAGAAGGCGGCCTGGGAAAGCTTTGGAGTGGATCTCAAGTTAGGATCCTGCCCTCTTCTCTAACATAACTGACAGTTAATTCTAGCTCAGTCTTGCACCCTGATGTCTTTTACTGATCCAACATTGATTTCTTTCAGTATCTTTGGGTTCATACAAAAATCTTACTCCTTCATCAGGTTGAGGGTCTATTGATGAAAATTCCACATCACTCCTTCTGTCTCAGGTTTCTTTACTTGTTGAGTTATGGCAAGGATAGAATGTAATCCCTGTGACATCAGCCAGGTGAGATAAGAAGGCAATCAGTCAATATTTTCAGGGATTTCATGCCGCTCCTACATTCATTCAAAATGAAAGCAAACAGGATGGAAATTGTAAGTGCACTCTTCACATAAATGAGGAGTTATTGTTCCTGCAGTTTTGTAAGATACTGTGGCATATTTATGTATATAGCTTTATGTAGGCATGCACACATATATTGGAGAAGTTGTGTTTCTCTTGATTATTAGCTGGGATGAAGGTCCCCTATTCATCACTGGCATCTGATTATCCAGTCCACTCTTGTAAGTTGATTACAATTACCGTGTGTCTGATAGCAAAGGTGAAAAGCTCTCCCTCTACATTAAAACTCTGAAGAATTTTTTTTTTAAAAACTAAAAGTACCAAGCAAAACAGATTTGTGGTCTATCAGTGATGACAACTCTCTTTCTCAATACGACTTTGTTCTGGGATTTCGGGAGGCATCGTGCTAGCCTGTTTAGAAACAATACCATGGTCTATAGATCTTGGTTTGGTCAGTAAACCCATCTTGCATTTGTTCTACTACAATAACAAATCATTCTGTGGAGATAAAACTGCTATTTATGAAATATATTCCATTCAGTGATTTAAGAGGAGTGGCCTATGGAAGGTGCACAACTAATAAACATCATATGAAAATCTAGCAGGAGTGGTGCTTGATTTGGATAAGAGCTGCTGTTTTTACTTCTTTTAACAGTCCTGGGAAAGTGAGCTATTTATGAGAAGGAAAAATGGTGATTTAACCTTACGTTGCTTTTGTCAACTTCCTCACCTCCCACCCACAAAAATCTTTGTGGTTCAGGATAGAGTTTCAGTTTTACGCTGGCAAGCAAAATTTCTCAGAGATAAAGTCAAAATAGGGCAAGAGTAAATTATGAAAAATGCAGACCTCCTTTCTAGGCAATTGAGATGCATGGATGGCCTTAGCTCTGATTATGTTGGGAAGCAGAGATGATGAACGCTGCCCTGTGTTGTATTTCTTGAAATAATACAGATGACTATAAACTTGACTTACAACCTTTCATTTAGCAACTGTTTGAAGTTTCAGCTGTACTGAAAAAGTGGTTTACAATGGACCCTCACACAACTATTGCAGTCACATGATCAAAATTTGGGTTCTTGACAATTGGCATGTATTTACAGTGGTTGTGTTGCAACATCCTTGGGTTGTGTGATCACCATTTGTGACTTTCCCAGCCATCATCCAACAAGTAAAGTCAAGGGAGGAAACCAGGGGCTGGATTCTACCGGTTCTGTCCGGCTATACAGAACCAGTAGCTCTGAAGAGCAGCAGACACAGAACCGATTCTGTGTCTGCTGCTGTTTTGGCCCACCTGCCCACCCGGGCTCTTACCTGTCCTTTATTTCCTGCTTTTTCCACTGCAGCTGCTTTGCGCGGCACAGCTGTGGTTGAAAAAGCAGGAAAAAAAGGGCTTTTCCAACCGCTGCGCACCCACACGCAGCGCTGCTCAGCTGTCCGGGCAGTTCAGCAGGTGGTAAATTGCACTTGTGCGACCCACGCGCGACGCAGAGCGACAGAAACGGTAGTTATACCGGTTGGATCCCATCCCTGGAGGAAACCTGATTTGCTTAATCACCATATGATTCATTTAACAGCTGCATTGTTTTGCTTAACAACCATGGCAAAAAAAAAAGTCTGTAAAATCAGGTGTGACTCATTTAAGCAATTGCCTTACTTACTAATACAAATTCTGGTCCCAATTTGCTACTTTCTCCACACTCTCTTTCCCTTGCCCCACTCCTGATATTAGGAAGCAAAGTTTTGTTGACTGATGTTAAGACAACATCAAGAGAATATCTACTGTGGGTGAAGAGGATTAAGTTTGCTTCTGATAAAAATTTGAATCTATGTGCACAGATGAAAGCAGTAGGAGGGAAGGAATGGCAGAATACCACAGCTGGAAGTAGGAGTAACTAATACCATTCAAGACAAGTGGCTCTTCTTAAAAGCCTCTAGTGAGGGGGCATCCATAACTTCTGCAGGCAAGTCGTTCTCCTATTTTATTATTCTCATTGTTAGGAAATTTCTCTTTAGTTCTAGATTGCTTTTCTCCTTGATTTAAGCCATTGTTTCTTGTCTTGCCTTCTGGTACTTTGAAAAATAGGTTGAGCCCCCTCTTCTTTGTGGCAGCCCCTCAAATATTGGAACATTGCTACAAGGTCACCCCTACTCCTTCTTTTCAGTAAACTGTGTCAGGAGAAAAAAAAATCGGAATCAGGAGCATAGCTGCACTTAATGGAAATTGAACAGGCAGCACACCACAAAAGTCTCACACCAGAAATCAGAGGTTTATTACAATTTAAAACATAGCAAGCATTAAAGCACTTACATTAGCAATAGCACTTAGACTTATATACCACTTTATAGTGCTTTAACAACCCTCTCTAAGTGTTTTACAGAGTCAGCCTATTGCCCACAACAATCTGGGTCCTCCTTTTACCCACCTTGGAAGGACAGGAGGTTGAGTCAACCTTGAGCCTGGTGGGATTTGAATTGCCAAATTGCAGGCAGCTGGCTGCAGCAGAAGTAGCTTGCAGTACTGCACTCTTAACCACTGCGCCACCGAGGTATTAATCACATTGCAATGAGGGTCAATTAAGCAAGCAGTCACAAGAGACAGCTTGGGACCAATTGGCCCCGATTTATACTTTAGCGTTACCTTATATACCTTCAAACGACATAACCCATAACTTTCCGGACTTTCTGCATTATCATAGCAACCTATCCTTCAGCTCATCATCACATTTCAACATTTCTGTTTTCATTCATACCGTTACTACCTAGCTCCCCATTTTCCACAGCCATAGCTCCTCTCATCCTGAATTATAAGGAACTACTGTGGGGGCAAAAAGGAACCATGCACCAAAATACTCATCTCAGCCATCAGCATTAATATACTCATGATGATTACAAATTTTCCCTTTATATTAGCAATAGGCAACTGGTGCCAATAATGAATCCAACTCAGCCTTCCAATCCTTATAGTGTTTAAGGGTCTGTGACGTGGGGCACAACAGCAACACTACAGAACTGTGGAATCCCAATATATTTTTCTCACAACTGAACAAACCCAATTCCTGTCACTGTTCTTCATATATTTTAGCCAGGGGTGGGATTCAAATTTCTTAACAACTGGTTCTATGGGTATGGCCTAATTTGTGGGTGTGGCTTGGTGGTCATATGGCTGACTGGGCATGGCTTGCTGATTGGGCGTGGCTTGGTGGTCATGTGACTGGCTGGGCATGGCTTGTATGTAAATATTGTAAATATTTATGTAAATATTTAAGTTTTTATAAAAAAAGAACAACTTTTACCCAAAATCAGGCAAAACAGGCAGGCAGATTGAGTTGCTCACAGAATCACAGATTCACTCAGAGATCTATCGTTCTGTAATCTGATACCTGAGTCTGCACTGAAAAATAGAAGCTTCAGTCCTAAGGAAGGTTCAGCTCTGCTTTTAGATTAGCTAGAAAACAAGAAATCCAATGATTTCCTGCTTTCTAGCTAATCTAAATCTCCCGGCACAGCTGATATGTGGAACAGCTGATGATCAGGGTGGAAAAAAAGGAAAAATAGGAACTTAACCAAAAATTAGGCAAAGGCACAAGGCAGGCAAGTTGGATGGTGCGCATGCCAGGTAAGGAGCGAGTGGGTGGGGTGGGGCCAGCCAGCCAGTGCTGCAATTTGCCAGTTCTCTGAACTGTGCAGAATCATAACAACCGGTTCTATAGAACCAGTCCAACCAGGTAGAATCTCATCCCTGATTTTAGCCTCCAGCCTCCTAATCATCTTTTCTGCACTCTTTCCAGAGTCAAAATGGAAAAATTGGAGTTAGGATTTTGGAAATAATTTTTCCTAAAGCTTGAGCTTAAGAATTTTGTTTTTTTTTAATTCTTTTACCATGAGCCTGAAAGCACAGAACAAGCTAGTAGAACAGGAAGAAGTTAACCGAGGATGGAGGAATGTGAGATGACAATACCTAGCTGAAGCTAAGCAGAGTCTCTTCATACTTGGCTGGAGAATCATCGGAAATACCATGGTGGTTAGCTAAGGAAGTGGGGGAAATATAGAAGAACGAATTGAAAAGGATGCTGGTTTTGTTTTTGCTACATGACTGCATGCACAAACTGATCAGGAATTGAACTTAATTTGAGTTTTCCTTTTTCAGAGAGACATGCCACCAAGGTCCAGCAATTATAACTCCTGAATCCCCAATAGACTCCTCACCCTTAGCCTTTTTTTCCTGAATTTCACATCTATATCTACCTCTCCAGCTTCTTTGCAAAAAAAAAAAAAAATATCGTGTGAGAATCAGTAGTAGATCTGTCTTGACTCTTGGGAAGAGCCATAGCTCAGCCTGGAGCAGGTGAGGGGGAAAAATTATGGCTGCAATGTGCGGACTCTCAATTTATGTACTCTCATCATTTGGCAGGTGGTGCAGACATAATGGCGGCAATTGTATGATGACCTTAAGCACACATTGTCATTATGACCACAATGTGTTTGTCTGAGGGCTATAACGTGGCTTCCTTGGCTTTGATATGATCTCCACTCATTGATTTGACCTCATTCATCGTTGTAGTTTGTCAACTATGATTTATAGTTAAAACATTATATGCACCTAGTTTGGGTTTAGTTGTTGAATAAACCATGGATAATTAAAACAAAGCTTAGAGTGTTCTGTGAACATAATTAGAGCATTTGTCTGTCAAAATGTGATTTATTTATTGGGTTGAATTTATTTATTGAATTTATATAGCCACCCATCTGGTGCATATGGCTCTGGGAGGTGTACACAATGAAAACAGAAGGCTAAACCAGTGTTTCTCAACCTTGATAGCTTGAAGACAGATGGAGTTTAACTCCCAGTATTCTCCAGTCCACATGACTGTCGGCTGGGGAATTCTGGGAGTTGAATCCACACATCTTAAAGTTGCTAAGGTTGAGAAACACTGAGTTAAGCCACCAACAAAATTCAAAGACAATTAAAAACCAGGTAGAAAACGATGGAGGTTTCTCCAACGGTGGAGAAAAACTGGGATTGAAAAAAGGAGAAAGATGAGCAGAGAGCAAACATTGCAGGGTGACGCTGAGCTTCCACTAGCATCACTGTCTGGTTTCTTATGCTTCACTTAGTGCAGAGGTCTCCAAACTTGACAACTTTAAGCTTTGCTGGTTGAGGAATTCTGGGAGTTGAAGTCCACAAGTCTTAAAGTTGCCAAGTTTGGGGATCCTTGGCTTAGTGTGTCAAAATTTGTAAGATGGCAGGTGCTTTGTCACAACTGAATTCTGTTTTATTTATCTTGCAATATTTTTCCT